TATCGACGCAGCGCCTTGGAGACTAGGGAAGCTCGGAGAGCTCGAAAATGAGGGTTGCAAGCTCTTTCTGGCCAAATAATTCATGAATATCACTAAAAAAAAACGTAGTCCTAAACCTATCTCCCCCCTTAAACGTATTCGATCGCAGAATTTTATTATACATTTCTTCTGGTAAGGATTTTTTTTTTCCCCCCCACCATGTCACGAAGTGGAAGACGAGGCAGGCTTTCAGACGGAACGGTCGGTGAAAAGTTGGCCCGTCGTCGCCCGTGGGGGTTGAAAAAGCTCCGGACGTTTTTCCGCGGCGAAAGTTCGTCCTCGAGAGTCCATCGACCAAGCTGGACCCGGGAAGCCGAATTTCTTTTTTACTTCCGTTTTGTTACTCCCTGGGTATCGCGATCGAGAGGTCTCTTCTCCCCTGGAAATGAACCCCCCCCTCCCCCAAGTGAAACCTCCCTCGCATATTGAACCCTCCCCCTTGCAATTGAACCTCCACTGCAACGAATCCCCCTATAAATACCCCCCCCCCCTGAAAATGACAGCCCCCTGACAAATAAACCCCCCCAGGGGTCAAGCTACCCCCCGCCGATCTGCATGCCGGTGTCATCCCTTCTCTCATTTTTCGAGCTTTATTCCACCCCCACCCCTCTTAGGGGCATCTCAAGTCGGAAGTAACGAGACCACTCTTCTCAATTTCTTTTTTTTCGACCTCTCCTGGAGACGCGGGAAAGAATGACGGGGAGGGGAGGAGGAGGAGGAGGGGGAAAGATCGATCCGATTCGGCGTTCCGACGATATCAAGCCGACCTGTTCCACCTTCCTCGGTTTTCCACGATAAACAAGCCTCTGCATATCCGCTGAGCGTAAAGTGCAATCGTCAGCTGGGTTATGTCAATTATCGAGGAGTCTTGCTCAAGTCGAGTGCCCCCGGGGGCACTCGACCCCCCCCGGGACTCGAGTCCGTCCGTAATTATTCCTGCCCGCGAGGAGCGACTACCAAGATCCGCGGATCCCGGGCATATCAACCCCTTTTTTTTACTATTTCCTCCCCCCTCTCGTTTCTACGGCTACATCGGATTACTCTCCCCCGGACTGATAGGTTTAAACCCAGGTTTTAACGCAATTAGGATGGTACCGTTCAATGAGTGCTGGGAAATTTTGCGCGCTTTCCCGGAATCCTCGGACCCTGGTTTTCAGGGCTGCGGTTAAGTAGCGGTTTGGATAAATGCGAGGATTCCGGATTTGGTACTAACATTTTAACTACGCCGTAGTTGGACATGGAGATGTACCACCTGTACGCATAGTTCGGCCGCGGAGTACTATTAATTTATGCGAATACGATATTCATTTGTCCCTTTGAATATATGGGAGTGAAGGGGGCCACTATGGTGACGATTCAAAAAGAAAAAAAAACGTCAGTTAGACTGAAGCCAGTATAGTGGCGTTTCGTAATTAAAGGATTAATGTGGAGATTGATAGGAAAGGATCGACTTTGAGGTGTTCATGATTTTCTACAAGGTCCGGGCGTTCTTCAGGGTTTTGTCGAAGGTTGACACGTTCATTGGGATTTTCTTCTAGGTTGAAACGTTCTTTGGAGTCCTCTTCAAGGTACGCCCTGGCCTCGAGAGGGATGTACCTCCACCGTATACACATATACATGTGCGGGGGTGCATGGAGCGTATGTTCCGGCGAAACAGTTCCGACCATGTAGTCCCTCTCGAAGTTGAGAGTGTACCGCGAGGGTGGCAAGTACGGCGAGTCCGGAGAGCACATTGGGCACCCCGAGTGTAATGAGAGGGTACCAGGGGTAGTGGACGCGGCGCCGTAAGCGGGTGCAACTTCCTTCGGGATTTATGCTCCGGGGAATTTCCAGCGGACTCCCTTCTGCAGGAATATCGCTATTTACGGTCCCAACCCTTTGCCATGGCGATAAAGTACTCGCGAGTACTTCGGCCAGTCTGGCAGGTACCGATTCCGGGCTGGATAGATGGTCCAGCGGGTTCCTGGTGCAAGCTCAATGCTGGAGGCGAGACCAGAAAGGAAAGAGGGCTTTCAATCGGTCAACTGTAATGGTATTAGCGGTTTGCTCCCTCTCCTCTTGGCCTAGGAACGTTAGGGGGGTCCTGCATTTCCCGCGGGCTCCTGGTTTTCCTGGAAGATTTCCTTCGAGCCACCGTGACCGTTCCGGTCGCTGCGATTGCCCGGCAGGAAATGGACACCGGCAGGCGAGACCAGGAAAGCCAACGGCTGGTGCCGACCTCCCAGGGGAAATGAGACTTTTGAATTAATAACTGCATCCGTGGACGGTTACGAAAAATCTGTAACCATGTAACGACTATAGGGGAAATTGCACTTATTAAACACACGAGCTGGGATCGCTGGTTGTTGATCGCTGCGATTGCTCGGGAGGAAATGGACACCGACTCGGGGGTACGAGGATGGTTAACGACTGGTGCTGACCTCCTTTCGGAAATGACACGTATGAATGAATAAATACGCGTGGATATGATTAAGAAATAAATGTGGGCGGTTACGAGAAATGCAGGACTATGTAACGACCCTGGGGGAAATTTCACGCATTAAACGCGCGAGCTGGGATTGCTAATTTAAATGCGAAATTCTTTTTCGAAAAATGAATTTTCACGAGGGTCGGGGCCTTTGTGGGTACCTCCATAATCACGTGTTAAAGTTTCAGCGTATTCGGTGCACCCAGTTTGGGGTCAAGTTTTATCAATATTTTCACGTTTGGTGTATATAGAATGACCCTTTCGCATCCCCTTAATTGCATCGAATGCACTCTCGGTTTGGAGTCGTCATTCCCCCCTTTTCATAACTCGTCGAGAGATCGCCGCCATATCGCAGCTTAGCGATTCATCGCTCATTTCCTATTTATCTCTTTAACTGCCTGTTGCATGCGCGGCACATCCGTCAGCCGACATTCCGCGTCCCAAGTGAACGCTCCGCGTTCACCAGAAACAATGTCCACTTACCCGGGGCCGCTCACGCGCGTATGCAAATGGGGATGCACCGATCGGCGCTCTTAATTCACGTTTGCGGTGACGGACGAGCGAGCGCGGGGTAACGCGATATTCCCACCCCAGGGTCCCCGGAGGGGATTATCGCGGGCCGATAATTCAGGGCCATAATCGTTTGGTTACGATGCGTCCCTCTCGGCGCAGACGACCCGCGACGGAATCGCGGGACGGGAAAATTCAATCGAAATTGGAGGAGCGCCTTTCCGGATTCTTTATTCCTGGTCTCAAGGTTTATCGGCGATTTCGCGGACTCGAAACGGCCCGTTGCGTCGTTTACGGTTTCGAGTCCTGCCACGGGAATATCACTGGCCGGCTTTCCAGCGGCAAATGGCCGTCTTACGCGTGTACACCTCGCGGGGCGGCCGCCTCGTAACGCGGCCCGCGTAAACGTAATACGCGTGCACGGGGTCGCTTCCAGCAATCCCTTCGCTCTTACGGGGGAACGCCGTTATACGAGCACGCGAGGCGGTGCCGGCGATAAACCGCTTTCATTGCCTGGAATGCCTACGAATTGCGCGAGCCGCGTTTCCAAAATGACCCTATCGCGAAACGGAACCGTGATCCCGTCCCCGGATACAATTTTCGCTGGGTTTCTTTCCCTTTCCTCTAACCATTTTTGCTATAAAAAATTTTATTTTACAAAAATAGTGTGAGTTTAACCGCGTTCATTGCCTGGAATGCTCAGGAATTGCGCGAGCCGCGTTTCCAAAATTATCCTATCGCGGAACGGAACCGCGATTCCGTCTCCGGATACACTTTTCGCTGGGTTTCATCCCCTTTCCTCTAACCATTTTTGCCATAAAAAATTTTATTTTACAAAAATTGTGTGAGATTAACCGCGTTCATTGCCTGGAATGCTCATGAATTGCGCGACCCGCGTTTCTAAAATTATCCTATCGCGGAACGGAACCGCGATTCCGTCCTCGGATACACTTTTCGCTGGCTGTCTTTCCCATTTCCTGTAACCATTTTCACTATACGAAATTTTATTTTACAAATGAATGATTTCCACCTGATTTCGAGCGTTAAAATCTATGATTTCCTAAGTAAATACCCCCTCGGCTCTTATCAATCTACGAGTGCACGTCGTCTTGATTAAGGCCGATTTCTCGACTGTTCAAGAGATCTCTTATCTGGGCATGTGTACAGCATCCCTCGGGAATCGTGCGTCCCGGCTTGCGAACAACGCTATCTTCCCTCCCTATCTTCCACCTCTCTTTTGCCCACCAATCTTGGTCTACCGTTCGCTACTCATTACCGTGTTTCCTTTGTGTTTGCTCCCGTAAACAATTTCCCCGCGTTCCATTAAGGCCGAGCAAACGACTCGGAGGGGAGTTTGGGTCGGTCGACCAGACGGGAAACTTCGAAGATGGGAGTTGCGAAAACGTATCACGTCTCCCGTAAAATCCGCCCCCTCCTCTGAAACTTCGACGAATTTTCAATGCCCTAGGATCCGTCGAGGGGAATTCTTCGACTTTCTTCAGGGTATCGTTCCTCAAATAATTCTCCCTCCCTCGAATTCCGGAAATCTGTGGAATTGGAAAGTATTATGATAGGGTTATTTTATATCCCCCGAAACGTCAGAATATTTAAAAAAATTATCTCCAAACTAGATGCACCGAATCGGTTGGAACCTTAATACGATCCTGATAATCGGCCTGAAAATTACGAAATTTCATTTTTTTAATAAAAACCTTTTTGGTTCTTATCAGGGATAAGTACAAAATTTTGTATCGAGAAATGAAATTTCGCGGATTAAGTAAAGTAAACCTCCTAACAGTGAAACCTCCATAATCACGTGTTGAAGTTTCAAATTATTCGGTGCACCCTGTTTGGAGAAATGTTTCATATATATTTTGATGTTTTGACAGATGTTGATAATTTCATAATACCTTAAGTACGCTTTTAAGGCAACCATTGTTCTATGGAATGAAATTAAAGATTCTTGAATTGTTTCTTCTTGCAGTGCCCATGGTGTCGGTGCAAGGGGTGGCCGGCCAGAAGGGGGTGCTGCCGTGTGACATCCAACCCCGTGATAACAACGATTCCGTATCAGTGGTGCTCTGGTTCAAGGAGACCGCCAGCGAGTTTAAGGCCTTCTACCGGTGAGTGAGCAGAAAAATGAGAATCACAATTTTCCATATTTCCCAGTCAAGCACTTGAATTAAACCACCGATGAATACACAACTACACGTCACCTTTCCTCGGATAAGGCGCCAGAGTTTGCAGAAAAAAAGAAAAAAAAAGAGAAGGAGAGAACCGGGCTTAACGATGCTTTTTGAAAACCAGGTTAAGGGCGGCCCTTGTCGAGCTCTCCACGTATTCCCAGGTGGGGGTTGGTTATCCCTCGAAATAAAGGGAAGATTTTCTAACGAGCTGGAGACGTACGTCTAAGATTAAGAGAGCACACGAAAACGAGGGCCGTTGAAGCTGGGCTGAAAATTACCCCCTTCATGCCCTCCCCTTGCTAAATTAAAACCGGCTAACTGATACAAATTATCCGTACTTTCGCCTAATGCTCGTTAAGTACCTCGAGCCCTCCTCTAGTCCTTCGCCGGAAGTTAATCCTCCCCTTAAAAATCATGGAAATGGATTTTCCCCTCTTTTTTCATTTTTCCAGGAGGATTTATTTCTCACCCCTGGGTCTAATTAACGGTTCGTTAATATATTTTGCGTTTCTTGCTTTACGGTCGTTTTCTCTCTTCTACCCCGAGATAAAAGATTCATCGAACCGCAGAAATATTTCTTCGTATGGTACCAAAGAAATATTTTCTTCTTTCAAAAGAATAACTACTCGAAATAGATTCTCCTAATTTCGAAGAAATTTCATATTCTATTTATTCTAGTCTACTTCAATCCGATTATTCATTGTATTGTCGGAATATTTCTTTGGTATTGTAAAGGAAATATTTCTCTGGTTTGATGATATTTCTTTCTCAGTGTCGGGACATTTTTCGGGAGCTAACTCGACCGGAAGACGTATTAAATGGGTGTGCGGCGATATTTCTCCCCGACTCGGGGTGTACGGTCCTAACAAGCTCTCTCCATTATTTCTCTTCACTTTCATTGTTACCCCCTCCCCCTCACTCTGCTATGGGGTAGCGTATCGGCGAACAACTCGGGGGTTGATTCGAAACCCCCAAGGAATTCGGAACGGTAACGAGCTAACCTCAAAATGGCTCCTCGCGTATTTCCCGCATACACGCGCGTGACACGCGAAGCCAGCCCGGAGAACAATGGCGATGCCACGTCGTAGGAACTTCTTGTGCATAATGCATTCAGAGGGGGTTTTAGGGTGGGTGGGAAGGGGGTACGCATCGAAACTTCCAATTTTCCAGGCGCATATCGAAAATGCCACCGAATTTGGGAGAATCACTTGAACTGTCGTGGTTATTAGAAGGTGATGGGTTTTAAGGAAATTTCATATTTTTGGAGATAGGACTGATAAGGGCAGAGACACGTGCAAAGGATATACCGCAAATGTGAAGGCAGAAGTCGGGGAAGTCGATGTTTAAAAATGAAAGACCTCGATGAAATTTCATATCTCTGGTAAGAGAGAAAGGGGGAGAGTAGAGTTACATAGGGCAGAAGAACGCATTCAAGGTAGACTTAACAGACGTCGACGGCGTCGATTTTTGAAAAATGGAAGGTTTTCATGAAATTTTATATCTCTCGGAGGATGGAGGAGTATAGGAATGAGCGAGGTATGGCGACGGAAATAGGGCAGAGTTACGTAGAGCTGAGGGACCCAGTCGAGGTAGGCACCGCAAACGTCGAGGCGGAAGTCGGGGACGTCGATTTGTTGGAAAATGGACGGTTTTCATGAAATTTGATATATCTCTAGGCGGACGGGAAGAGGTAGGATTGGACGAAGTACCGCGAGGTAGGGTGGAGAGACTCATGCAAACGGAGGCGCCGGAAACGCCAAGGCGGAAGCCGTCGACGTCGAGTGACGAAACGCCGACGTCGACGGCGCGGTTCGCGGTTAACGCCTCGGCGGGGACGGTTCCGCGTCGATCGACACAATTGTCGGCGGTGGCCATTGTGGCCGACTTACCGACACGTCGAATGGAGCGGCGCTTCTCGTCGAGCGGGACGTAGGGTGCGTCCCGACGCCGGCCCGCGGCCCGCTCTCGAATTATCGCCATTGTCCGAGTCGTTACGCGACGTAATGGGAACGAACGGCGAAACGTGCGGGCGCGGCAAACCGTTCCCGGCCAGTTATTACGCGCCATTGTAGTCGGGATGCGTGGATGAGAGTGGCGTCGAAAGCGGCGTCGAAAGCGGCGCCGAAAGCACCGTCGAAAGCACCGTCGAAAGTGGCCTAGCTCACCCTCAGCGAGTGATTAGAGACGGTACGGGGGCGCAGGTCGCGACGGTGCCAGAGGCACCGGAAGAGACAACAAAAAATCGTGGACCCCGCTTCCGGTTTCCTCGAACGAGTCCGCCACCTTTGACTTCTTGAAAGAAAATTAAAAAAAAAAAGTGTGGAAAAGTCTACGGAATGTTTTCATGCCAGGGGTTTATTAAGGGTTGCAGGGGGTGACCGGAAACGCGGAAACGCCCAGAAGTATCTAATCGCACGGTTTCCGGGAGGGAATGGTTCACCCCCCAAAACCGCCCCTCAGAGTGAAGGGGGGTATTAGTCAGATCGGATTAAAAGTTTTCCAGGGAAAATTAGGCCTTCCGTCGAAAAGGGGTGGATTCTATATTGAGGACTTCTTCGAGTCGAGCCTGGGGGGCTAAAAGTGCTCGAAAAATCATATCTCACCGTGGAACTCGCACTCGGTCGAGCGGAAAGTTTTAATAATTTTGTCACGTTTTTCCTATTTTCTTAGAAACAAGAAAATCGACGTGAAAAATCCCCGCAGGGTCTCGTCGAGACGCGTGGCGCTACTGAAAGACAAATGTCTGAAAACGACAATGGACATCCGTAGGGTGGATGGGTCAATTTTTCGGGCCGATTCGACGCTTTCGAGAAATCGTCCCGATATGTCTTCATGGAGAAGGAGGATCTCGAGGAGGTCCCGGAAGAGAAAGGAGAAAAGTCAGGGGTGGTACCCACGCCACGGACGAAAGTGTCGTCCTCGATCCTCCAGCGAAACCGTGAGCCGCGAAAACTACCCTACGCGATATCAGTGGATCAGAATGGGGATGCACTCGCATCTGCATCGATATTTCCGAAAATTCGGGCATTCCGCCGAGGCGGAAACTCGCGACGTCCTTTCCTTTCCAGAATTCCGGATTCCCACCCTTGAAAATCCCCCCTCCCCCAGAAGTCTCACCCCCTGCGATTCGGTTCACCCTCGCACGAGAAACCACTCTCTTCCTCCTGGTGTCCCCCAACCACCCCATTTCATCCCTATCCCAATTTCACCCCTACCCCTCCGTTACGCCCCTACCCCAATTTCACCCTCTACCCCCACTTCACCCGTATCTACCCCTGTCTCCGAGTAACGAGAACTCGGCGTTCGCGAAAACTACCCCTTTGACGGCGCTGGTGAAACGAAACGGAATGAAAACCGGAAGACTTGGCCCGGGTGGCTCTGACATTTACCTTGCGCCGAGTTCTCGCTTTGTTCGGTCGAATAATGGCCCGAGAATGCTCGGGATATCGCGGAAGTACTCACCCCGGAAGTACTTATGCGCGGACGCGCTCTTTGGGGGTGGAACGACCCCAAGGGGTGCGGTTAGACACCCGGGGGATCCGCAAGTAATGGCCGTCCGCACCTCCTTGCACCCCTCCGATATTTATTTTACTCTCGTTTGTCAGTTTGATGCCAGCTGTTTCAAGTGTTGTATCGCACTCGTCTTGCGGGCTAGAGGGTAGAGGCGAGGGATTATTAATTTAGGAAATTATAGATCTTAATGCTGGAAATCAGCTGATTTCAATACTGGGATCAAGCAGATATCGCTGGAAATCGTTGGAAATGACCGAAACGTTGTCACAATTTTAAGGCCGTTCATTCGGAAATCAATGAAAGCGATTTGCTTCTTTAAGAGACCGATTGCCTTTGATTTCATACGGTAAACAACAATGCGATTTGGTGACAAGTGACAGTTGGCCTTAAAATTGTGGCAATATTTTGGTGAATTCCAACAAATTTCAGTGTTGCGATTTCCAGCTTATTTCCATGCGATTTCAAGCATTGAAATTCGTGATTTCCTGACTGAATAACCCCTTGATGTTTATCTCACTTTAATAAACAGAATCGCGTTTTCCGTTGATTTTCTGGTTATTATCAAGAATCAGGACACGATAAAGCGCATTGTGAATGCTCCCGAGCAGAAATTTCCATCCTACTTAGAACCTCCAATTGTTGGCCTTAAGGTTATATAAAAATGTTTTTTTTTGTTCTTGAGATGGGATCGAACAGACTTGGAGTCTCGGAGTAGTCTTGAGCAAATGCGCCATCCGTGGAGGAAGGAGAAAAAGAGAGACTCTGGGTGGCCGAGATCGGGGATCCGATCATCAGAGGTGATCGATGGCTTCTAGTCGATAGTGCCAGGAAGAGCGCGATCGTTCATGGAAACGACCGTGGCGAGGCGTGACACGGTTCGCGTCATCCCTCGTCTTCGATCTTACACTTTCATTAAGCCCCGTCCGCCCCCAACCCTTTCCGTCTTGGCTACCCTTGGTCGTGACGAGAATCTTCCGAAGGGTTGTTTCTCCACGCCCACGTGCAACCCCTCACCCCTTGACGAGTCGAATTTAATGGAAATCCAAAATATCGGTTTAAGAAAATGAGAAATTAATCGAATTTTGAGCCAGTTTCGATTTAATTCCGGCTCTTGGAGCTGAAAATATGAGTACCCTGGAATCCGGAGAACATTCCCAAAGTCCCCCCCGCCCTTTCACCTCCTCCATCATCCTCCATCTTGTGAATCATCGATTTCTCATTTTCCCTCTGTCGCGCTGTCTCAGATACGGTGTTACCTCGCAGCGCATCTGTCACGAACTTTCCACCCCCTGGGTTTTCTTTCCCCTTGGAGCTGAAAAATTAAATTAGACCATTAAAAAATATACATACATGAGCCCTCCCCCAGGGGCATCGAAATTTCTCTCGAATAATCCTTTCCACCCTTGGATAGCATTTTTGCAGAT